TTAAAAGCAAATCTTCAAGCATACTATCTACAAAAATTGTGATCATATTAGAATGGAATTTTCAGTGATCCTTTGATATTAGCAATACCTTGAACTAAGATCTTTTGTGTGATTTGTTCAGAACTGGATATTTTCAGGAATCATTCCCTGATATTAACAACTTCATAAGCAATCTAAAATTACAGAGAAGAAAAATATCTATTCAAAAGAAAAAACATGAGCTAATACAAAGGGAATAGTGGACACTGGATTGCCTACCCAACATGTACTTCACTCTTCTGCCTTTCCAACAAAATGCCAATTTTATTCATGTTTCCATTCTCATCCTCAGCTTCAAGGATGGATCCTGATTAGCATAAGCTATTACTGGCCTTGGGTAGGACTAATCAGCCTGAAAGAAAAACATAATCTAAGAATGTAGGAAGAGATCACTCTCTCCTTATGGACTAAATTGATTACCACTGATTTAAAGGAGGAAATCAGCTTCTGGACATCAACTTTGGGAAGAGCAAAGCAGAGAAAAAGAAAAATACTGGACCTATGATAAAGTCACTGATTTGTTGAATCAAATATTTTTGGAATCTGTCTACTACTCTGCACTGCCTATTACGTATCCTAACAGTTTTTTAAAAAGAAATTTGAGTCAGGCTACATAAAACCTAATTTATGTATCCAAAAGCATTCTAACTAACCAAGTGTAAAGAAACCAAATCACTTGGAATTATCTTAACAAAACAACTCAAATATTATGTGTTAATATAATATGCGTTAATACCTTAATTAATACTTAGAACTGCTGACAATTCTATCTTGATAATAAAAAAAGTTTAATTATCCCATCTTCCACATTGTCTTAACAGTCACTAAAAATAGATATCAGTAAACAGCGGTGGGTCTTTCCTAAGGATTTTATAAAAGGAAAAAAAAGGTATACATACTTTCAATACTTTATATTTTTTATGTAAACAAATTCAATGAAAGAAAAGCACAATTTTAGACTTCCTTCTAGGACCTGAATTTAGTTGATAAACAACTTAATAATCACATATAGTTTATAAGAAAATTGAGGCAACTAGTGTATATAACAGTTTGAAAACTTTGCTGTTTGTACGTGTGTAGGTGTGTGTAAGCCTGCCCACAAATATACACACACACTCTTTTAAATCGGTGGAAGCAACTAAGGTAACTCATATAAAAGAAAAACATTTTTTACTTTATTAAAATAATTCACCAAAAGATATGCCATGGTTCATTAAGAACGAAGGAATCACAATCCAAGGTTGTGATTTTTTTCTTCTTTGATGGCTATGTAAAAATAGATCTGCTTTAAAAAATGTAATTCTCATTAGTCATTTATAATAATAAATAAATATTGCCAGGCAAATATTAAAAGACTATAGTTTGTTGTCAAGCCACTGTGGCTCAGCTTCACTTTAAGAGACAAATGAAGAAAAAAACATTTGAATTTGTGCAGTCGCAGGTCGAGGATATAGAAGGTAAAAACAAAAGAGGATGCATTCTAAGCCTATGCTTGTTTTGTTTTGTTTTTTAAGCCTACAGCACCTGGTATTCTTAGGTGGTCTCCCATCCAAGTACTAACCAGGCCCAACTCTGCTTAGCTTCCAAGATCAGACAAGACTGGGCATGTTCAAGGTGTAATGGCTGTAGACCTTATGCTTGAATTCTTAATGCTTGACTCTAGCAGGAGCCAAAAACTTCCACTTAGCAAAATAAGTATGTGACTTCATATGTCACAATTAAATCTAAAAATCTATTACAGTAGAAAATGGAAATCTGCACGATTAAAAGGTAAAAATGAACATATAAATTGTTATATGAGAGAGGATGAATGAGGAATGAAAATCCAATGCAGTAGGGGAAGCTGGTTGGCAAATGTTTAAGCACTTTTCAAACTGCTCAGTGTTAAACCATTGTTAACCCTCAGCATTCTATCAGGATATGAAAGTGTTAACTCAACCACACCCTTAAATATTGCTTAATAAATTAAAATCAAAACTGTCAGTCTTATTGGATATATACTCCTTAGAGATTTCTCTCACCTTAAAACTTAAGATAGTTGAAGTAACAGAATTCCATCATTACTTTTGTCCTAAAGGCATGGATTCATAAACTTCTAGTTAATGAAGGACTAAATTTTAAGAGAAGGAAATTTAGGCGGTCACTTCTAATCCAACCTCTATCCCAAGCTAGGAGAGATTAATAAATACATTTAGCAAAGATTTACTGAGATTATTCTGCATTCAAGACTCAATGTTGTTTGCTGGGGGTGACACAAATAAATCTAAAACCTGATACCTTTCCCTCAAGGGAATCTGTAAGATGTCCCAAAGGAATTATAGGCTGTGAAACAGATTATATCATAATAAAGGTTAAGGTAAAATCATAAGAACCAAGAGGAGTTTTTCAGCATGATAAAAGGCTACAGAGAATGTTTTAGTGATGTTTGAGTTAGGCCTGAAACAAGAGGTCAAATCTAGACATTTAGAAATGGAAGGAAAGGACATTCCAAGCAGTGAGAACTGAATAAACTCTGATGCTCTATACAAACACATCCCATTTTCAACTACTCTTCCCTGACATATTCTGCTCTTACCATGCCTGTTTTCTTGGTGTTCTTCAAACAAGGCAGGTTCTTCAAACAGGCATTTCCTCCTTGGGGCCTTTGTGTCTGCTGCTCCCTCTGCCTAGAATGATCTCCCTCCAGATATATGCAAGGCTGGCTTTCTTAACTCCTGCAAGTCTTTGCTTCAATGTCATCTTCTCAGAGAAAACTTACCTTACACTCCCTATCACCCTTCCCTGATTTTTCTACAGCACTTATTACTATGTGAAATGCTATACATTCTACTTATTAGCTTTGTGTATCCTCCTGCCAAAAGAGCAGAAGTTATCTTCAGATTTTAAAAACTACCTGCACATGGTAGAAATGAAATAATTATGTATGGACAAACTGATTGATGGAATAAATGAGTGAAAAAGATTTCTGCTCTCAAATAGGATATGGTCCAGTGGAGGAGATAGATACATAGATAGATAGATAGATAGATAGATAGATAGATAGATAGATAGATAGATAATCTTAAATTATTTCTGAATGACAAAAATAAACAGAGTTGGCAAAACCCAATTTATCAAAGACTAACATGCAGAAACAGCTTCTGGCATTCCCACTTCTGTTCTTCTTTATACAGCTCTTAGCTCCCTGCTCCCAGTAACACTGTCACTTATGCAATGGCCAAAAATGACAACAGCGATGCCACTGCTGCCAGAACTGCCTCTTCCCACTTTAACCTTCACTGCTACCTACTTAATAAAGGTCATGTTCCCACTGTTGGACAAGAGAAAGATGTATTCCTGAACTTCCAGATTAAATTGATTTTTCTGTAAGTTCTACTCCTGGAGTAGTTACACTGATATTATAGATTAGCCAAGAAACCTACTATTTTGAAGATTGCTTAATTATTAAGTGTAGACATGGAAAAACAAATTTTTGAATTGTTTCATTATTGGAACATACTTTTCTATACTGCAAATGGATGGCGCAGGCAAAATGGTTAAGAGAAAGTTCCTTCAATAAACGATAGCACTATATTTTAGGCAAATGAGTAACAACGTAAAGTTAAGGACTTTATTTTTTCACTGGGAAGGATCAACAAGAATTTTACCCTGGATTAAGGAATGACATAGAATTCTTAAATAGAACATAAGCATTTAAATTACATTAAAGCCAAACAGCAGTAGTAGAAAAATATTCTTTATCACTAGCAAAAGCAAGTGATAAAGGAATAAGCTCAAGATTTCTCACTTCAACTAACACCTCCACAGAATATATTATCATTTTAGGCAAAGTGACATTTTCACATTTAGTTTTTAATGGCAGGAATTTCTATCTGGGATTAATCTCCATAAAAGTGTTAGCCTTGGCACGATTTCAATATTTAACTTAAAGTTCATTTATGGTTATAAGCAAAATGCCCCAATACTATGCAATAGTTATATCTATACATTATCCTACCACTGAGAGCCCAATTTTGTTTTAACGGTGAATTTTGCCCTCAGATAGGCAAGTATGTGTACAACTCTCCCTCAATCTATAGCTTATCTTTATTGCCTTAAAATAACCTGCATTTTTAAACGTTTACACTTCTAAAAGAGTTTTACAAAAATTACTATCCTACATAAGTAGAAGAAAAACTATAAATAGGGCAAATTCCCTTAAGTAGAAAAATGCCAAACGAGCAGCTGAATTTGTAACTTCCACGGTTCTAACCGGTCAACTACAAACGTCTCCAGGTATTGCAGAAGTAAATAATTTACAGCCACGAAGGTAAAAGCCCAGTAAAAATGTTAGGTTCTCACTTATCTTTTTCTTTAATTAGGAGACACCTGAAAGTAAAACTGGGCAGTCAATCACGTATCGCAACCTTCAGGCGAGACTGTAGAGCGTGCAGTTATCAAAATGCAGGAAGCCAAAGTTCCTGCGCGATGAGAGGATTACAGAGACAAACAGAAGCCTATCTGTCCGTAGAAGAGAAAGAAGTCCGCCAGGAAAGACTGGGAGTCAAGGAGGTGGGGCTGCGAGACCAACTCGCTCCGCTCTGTCTTTTCTAAGAAGCTAACAGAAGCCGCGGGCAGCAGGAAGGCAAGAGAGCCAGTGGGCTCGCGGGCGCAGGTGGGCTGCGGTTGCCCGACAGGCAAGGGCCCGGGACCGGGAAGTCTCCAGGGCCTCGCCGTGCTGCCGAGAAACCACCCAGGCAACAGACGCGCGGAGGAGCTGCCTAGGAAGAGCCACGTCGGAGGATAGGAGCGCGGCGAGAGGTGGGCACCTTGCTCACACCCACCCCGAGGCTGACAGCCCTGGACCGCGAGGCGGCCGGGGCGCGAGAAGGGCCGCGGCGCGCATGAGGGGGTCGCCCTGAGGGCGCTGCCTGCAGCCAACGACTCCCCCTCGCCCTGATCAGCGGCGGCAGAATACTCACGTAAGGCTGGTAGAACTTGGAGAGCCGCGGCTTCCCGTGGTTGTTGAAGATGAGGATCGCCTTGATCATGGCTGAGCCGGGCCGACAGGGTGGGCGCTGGGGGCCAGGGCGGGGGCGGGCGCGCGAGGCTCGCCACGGGATCTCGCCGGCGATCCTTCCCC